GGAACAGCTGCGTACGATTGAAAAACGTACTCTCAATGGGACAATGGAGAAGATAATTTTATAGTATAATTTTATAATAATACTTTATATTCAGGTAATATTCTGTATCAAGGTAATTTCATATCATAAATGAAATTGCAACAATTTCAAGGCACGATCACCTCAAAAATCCAAAACCAAGACCGACGATCTTATATTAGGTCTACCGGAAAGTTCTGTCCGATAGTGTTACTTCAAGTTTCAATTCATATGCACATGTTGATTTGAGACATATATGACTATCTCTCTTTATCATTGCATTTACACGCATGTACTCTCCTAAATAAACTGAAACAAAGATGTCTCATGTCATTATTAAGCGAGACGCGATCGTGAAAACATGGCTACCGATGATAATGCCAGACCACATGCTGCTTTGGCGACTCGTCAGAAAATCGCAGAGCTAGGCTGGGAAAATCTGTCACACCCACCATACTCGCCAGATCTAGCACCCTCCGATTATCACTTGTTTCTCTCTTTGCAAAACTTTTTACAGGAAAAAAAAATCAAAACTGAAGCTGATGTCAACCAAGCACTAGTTGAGTTCTTCGTCTCTAAAAATAAATTATTTTTTAAAAATGGCATTTAGAAGTTGCCATCACGCTGGCAAGAAGTCATAAATAACGATGGAAAGTATATTCTACAATAAATATTATTAAATGTATGAAAATTGTGTTATATTTCAATTCAAAAACGGACAGAACTTTCCGGTAGACCTAATAATTATATACAGATAATTATATACTATAGTAGGTATTAACAATTTACTTGATATTTACGCTTTAACGTACAGAGATACATTTCGATTATCGTAACAATTATTAGAAGCTCAAACATTTACAATCGACTCTAAAATAATTACATTTGAACGCACACACTAACTTCGTTGTTCTCCAACGATGCCATCTTGACAGTCCTCGAAATTCTCGGACGCTTTTATTCTCAAACCATTTTCGTAACGATCAGCTTCTATTTCTCGCTTTTTCAATCGACAAAGTGAACCTCCAGCAAACGCGTTAACGTTTCCCGATGAAGGCGATACTGAATAGTGATCATAGGAAAGAAAAAGTATGCTTTCTAAAAGGTCATAATTAAGTTACAATTATACAGTTAACGATCGATCTATCAATTATTCTCCTCTCACGTTCCTCTCGGTCGAACGGAACCGTTTCCGCAGCTTCTTCCGATCACCTCGATCTCGCTTCCGCAGCTTCCTTCGATCGCGTCGATCTCTCTTCTGCAGGATCACCGGTCGCCATTTTTACATTTACATTTCTACATCGTTCTGCAGGCGATCGAAGAAGTCAAGCGAAAGTGAAACTCTTTGCACGCGACGAGGCTTGGGAACAAGAAAGCCAGGGGCAGAGAACATCTTATCTAAAACGTAATTTGTTTAAATAACCGACTTGCAACGTTCCGACTCGGTGGTCGGACATTGAAAGTTACTTACGTCGAATGGGACCCTAAAAACTGTTCGATAATATTTTCTGGTCTGCCTCGATACTTGTTTGGTAAACATTGAATTTCTTCTTCCGAGTTCCTTTATACTCTGGTTCTCACTTCTTGCTGAACGTTTAATATTTTTTATATCTGTATTATTTATTATTTATTATTATTTTTATTATTTATTATTATTTTTATTATTTATTATTATTTTTATTATTTTTTATTATTT